GCACAGCATCAGCGGACGCAGCCACGGGCTGGCAAGAGCACTGCGTCTGCTGGGAGCAGAGGGAGATGGGAGGCAGAGGCTGGAGCAGGGCTGGCATGTGCTCAGGACAGCAGTATGTGTGCAGGGCTAGGATGAGTTCTGCGTGCCATTCAGGCAAGAGCAAGCCTGCAGGCAGCCACAAGGATGGAGACCTGAGCAGAGGCACAGCTGGCAGCCAGGAAACTCAGTCCTGCTTGCTTTAATGCAGGTAAATGGCTGTGTGGAGATGTTCCAGCCATTTGACACCTCACAAGCAACACCTGGAGCTGGGCAGAAAACTCTCTGTCAGTCCAGAAGAGAGGTCACAGATCTGCTATGGTTCCAACTCAGCTCTAAATGCCTGTACAAGGCTCTGACCATGTGAGCAAGCGAAGGAGGCTGCTCCAGCATCTCCATAGGCAGGACATTCCTAAGAGGTGACCCGTCCGTCCCCAGCCCCCCCCCATCTCTCCCATTTCTTTGTCACACTGTCTGAACACAGCTATTTTTTCCCTTTTTGGGACACCTCTGGAGCCCATAAATCACAATGCTGAGATCTGCTATAGCCAAGAAAGGAAGGGTTTGGAATAAGGACAAGGGGTACAGGGAAGATACCAATCCTTGTAACTTAAAAACCAGGTTACAGACATTCCCAAACGTGATGGTCTTTCAAAGGGGCTTCCTAGAAATTGTGCCACGAGCAAAGCCAAAGAGTCCCAGAGTCCCTGGGCACAGTCTGCTCTCATTGACAGGATGGCTGCAGGCAGTTCCCTAAGGGAGAGCTCCTCTGGGGCTGGGCAGGGGGAAACCAACTTCTGCATGGCCACCAAGCCAGGGCCCCCTGCACCCCACTGCCCAGCAGCTGGTATCTCCCGGGCCCTGGCAGAAAGAAACAGCAAAACAGGCCCTTGTGACACACTGCTCCCAAAAAAAGCCAGACGTGTATAATGTTGTGAACAACCTGTGCGAGACTGGTTCTGGTATTCATTAATGAGCCAAACAACGCGGTGACAAAGGGCTCCTGCATGCGCTGCGCCCAGCGGGTCACGTCCTGCCCCATGGCACAAGGATTGGTTGTGTCATCCAACTTCTGGCTTCCTTCAATCTGCAAGTTGCCAATGGCTAATCCATCATCCACCAACAGGATATATCTTGCTCTGCTGGTCCCTGGTGACAGCCCTGGCTGTTTCCAGTCCCTCGCAGTCACACCTGTCCCAGCCACAGACCCTTCTGTCTTATTTGCCACGTGAAATACTTCAAGAGCAGCCTCTTTTCTGATTATATTTTCTCTTTGAATGAACTTGATTTTCCACTGAGTCAGTCACAAGGAACTAGAAAAAGTTGCACCTTCTCTCTCAGGCTGCTCTCTGCCAGGAGCATCCTCCCCTTTGCTGTAGCATAAGCCATGCTCCCCAGCTCTACCTGACTCCTGTGGGCTCACTGTGAAGAGACATTCTTGGCAACACAATATTTTCTGCGTGCAAAACGTCAACTGTTTTCCTAGTCGTAATAAATCTCGGTCATTACTGTTCTTTTCCATTATTTTTATAGTTGCTCACAGACTTTTTTTCTGATGCAGAGTTGGCTTGACTACTAACATCCTTCTGTTTCTTCCTCGCTTTGCACAAGCTCAGATATGAAGGCTGTAGGTTGGAGACCGTCTGTGCAGAAGCGGTAGTCTAATGCCAGGATTGGCTTCGTTTCTTCATGTTTGGTCTAGACAGCTTATATAAGACTCAAACAGCTGCTTAGTTAGGAGTCCTCCCTGCTTGCGACTCTGCCAAGTCTTGCGCTGGACTATTAATCCTTGTCAGTATGTCTAGTCTGCTGCAGGCAGTCTGAGCTATATTGCATTAAAATGCCTTATCTACATACAAAAAGATTGCTAGCACATTGTTTGGCATTTGATACGTGGTCACAAATTCCCTTCGGAAATAGGAGAATTTATCCACAGCAAAGCTGCTGCGGCCACCATCAGTATCCTGGGGTGCTTGCCAGCTCCATGGTCCCTGTGAAGAACTTTTCTATCCTTTCCGTGTCTGGAGGTCGTTCTTGTAAGTCATGACATCAATCGCTAAATCAGGGTCAGCCCTTGCTTCTCCATGTGTGGCTGTCACAAGCCAGTGCTGTATTCCCCGTGGCTCCGACCATGGCAGCCCTTTCCAAATGGAGATCCTGTACAGTGGCTGCTGAACTCCTGCTCCACCCGAGGTCTTCACTGCCACTACATCAAATGTGGCTGTGGGCAGTTGCCAGTGCACGGTGTCTCCGCAGCTGACACAGAGCCTGGGTGGGTGGCTGCAGAGCCAGTGGCCCCAGGTCTGACACTGCTGTGGTGCTGGGACCCAATCCTGGCCAGATCCCACCTGCAGTCCTGCTTCTCCTTCTTCCGCATTTCGGGGATTTTTCACTCTCTTTCCCAGCACTTGGAATAAAGCCTATGTCCAGAAGGGTACCAGTTCCACAATCTTTTTCGCCATGCTGTGGGATGGGAAAGCAGCTGGTTCCCTTTCGTGGTGCACTTCTGCTTTCTGCCTCTGCCACCATCACCCTCCAGAAAAACAACTGATAGCCTCAGTGATGGGGGAGGCTGTTACCTACAACAAAGACTGCACTACATCTCCTTTGAAGGAGTTACCAGAGGTGGCTTTGAAGTAATTTTGAATTTTTTCTTCCATCCAAAGCACAGGGACCAAGAAGTATTTCATAGGTCACTGGACGAGGGAGTAACAAAACTGCAGGAACACAAGTCCTTCCCAACATGATGAGTCACAGAACCCTCCAAAGCCAAAGGATTTCTGCACATACTTCTACCTCTACTAGTGCAAGCCACCGGAGACTTTACTTTTTCACAGTTTTGAATGCTGCAGCTTGCTCTCCCTTGATGAATTCTCCTGTCTTGACACTGCCACAGGCTGCCCCTCAATGTCAGCCATGTTTCACAGCAAACACACCACATTTCACAGAACACTTAAATTTCTCCTAATTTGTACCCAATTTGGATTCTTCTTGTGCTGTGCTGTTTCTCAAGGAAGTTGTTCTCCCAGCCACCCAAAACATGCCTCATTCTTACCCCACTGTAGCTTCTGCACTTGCAGGATACAAAAACCACCTGTCACAAAATGAAGCTGTTTCTGATCCACTTGCAGTATTTGCCTTTCATTCTTGCGCATGCACATTCCTTTGGTATCCTGCAAAGTAGAAAGCTGTAGTTACACGCCTCCTCCTCTTCTCCTAGCATCTGTTAAAATGTTTTCCTGGACCCAGGTACAGATGATAAATAGAGCCAAGCAGAATGATGGACGCCAGCAGCTTTCACTAGGACCATACAATGGATTAAAGCCTTCAGACGACACTTCAAAAAACTCTCAACATTCCCAAGATGCTCACACCATGGATTTTTCCACCCATGCCTGGTACTGCTGCCTGCTGGTTCCAACAGCTGCAGCCCAGGAGCTGACCTCAGCTCTGCCAAAGGCTTGGGAAAAGCGAGAGCAGAGCCAGCCAGCTCCCCGTGTGCTCCAACACTCCAACATGAGTCCTGCAATGGTGGAAGCCTGAGCATCCTCACTGCAGGCTTGCAAAGGTGGATCTCTGGTCCTTGAAATCAGCACACAGCAAAGTACTGAGTGCAGAGTATTGCTCCATTTAGTGCACTAAATACTCTTCAAGCGCTGGAAAGCAAGTGACACCAAGAAAGTCCCTTCACAGCCTGTGTTAAGGAAGAGCTCACAGGGACAGGCCCAAGGCACACACTACACACTGCCCGCTCTCCAACACCTCTTGTATTGCACATGTGCAGAGAACAAGCAGCCTCGCTAGCACAGCTCCTTATTTCTGACAAATGCCCCCTTCTCTGCACAGCCAGTGCAGCTGTTACAGGGAATTCTGCCTTTTTATTCCTCAACTGCCTCATCCTGTTTCCATATACAATCTTTCTCAGTGGAAAAAAAGCATCAGATGAGAAGCAATTTTTGAAGATTAACCAAGGATAAATCGTCTTTGTCCCCGCTCACTATTAGTGCCTGGATTTAAGGCTTCAGTCACATGTAAACAGACCAAGGAGTGGAGGAAAGCCCTTGTCAATACAGAGAGCTTGAACTGTGTCATCAGCAAATAATCAAATCTCCACAAGCAGGGGAAGTACTATCTTAGAGCAAAATATTTAGATTTTATGGAATATTGGCCAATTACAATATTTTTCTCCAAATAAAACATTTATAAGAACACTGAAATAAATATTTGAGAACGCAATATACCAAAGTCCTGAGTCACTCCTGATGCAAAAATTCTCTCCCATCTTTCAGGCAGCTTCCCCATGTAGGGTTTGGAGTTGGGATGGCCTCTGGTGGCACTGAGAGATCTGGTGATGTCCGTCCCTGCTGCCTGGAAATGGTGGTGCTCCTCCTGGCAAAGCACACCTCCACATTCGAGCTGAATACTGAATGCCTGGCACTGACCAGGGCAACCTTGTGGGTCAATGGCAGCAACATCAAGGCTCCGATGGGCACAAATATGTAAAGAGAGCGAGAAAAGACCTCTTCACTCCTCCCCTATGCTGATGGCAGTGCTCCAGCTGTGGACTCAGCCCCACAGCCCCTGCTCAGCCTTCAACCCAAACTAGTGGCATCCACACTGACATGAGGCAGAGATGACACCTGGTGCAGTGGGACCCAGGCAGAAGACAGCAGCAGAGAGCTCAGAGGTGGCTAAGTCAAACAGGTTTGCTAAGGGTTTGAAGGAAGAACAAATGGAGAAGACAGGGCAAATAAAGCTACAGAGTTCTCACTGCATTGCTGACGGGCCAGTTTAGAAGGTGAACCTGTTGCAGCCTGGGGAAAACAGAAAAGATGCAGAACAACAGGCTGGCTTGTAAGAGAACTTTCTCCAGAGAACACATTTTGGAAGGACATCAAGGTAAAGGCAAAGGCAACAGGCACATACAAGTCACATCTCTGGTTGTTGAAATCAAGCTCCTGATATTGGCAGAATCTGAGTTTTATTGCCTTTGGTTCAAAATGGCACTGCTGCTCTTGGGAGGGCCTGCAGGCTCCTTCCTTCAGTCATTTCAAAAGGACTCCACAGGTCAATGTGGACATAGATTTCTTAGAAAGTCCTGTCCAAAATTCAGATTTTCGCTGCAAGTCTGTTTGCTGCTGTGGTGCATTCCACGTACCAACCACTCGCATTTGCAGACAACAAGATCCGTAACGCATGGTAGTATTCACAGAACAGAGGAACAGTTCTCTTTGACAATCATTACTGAGAGATATTTTAATGAGAAGAGTCTCCAGAGTCCTCCTTCTGCACTAGCATTGCCCAGCTGTGTTCTCTTTCAGACGTGGTCACATGGCTGTTCAGCTCTTCATTCAAATCTCAGCCCCATCTTCTTGGATGTACTCACACAAGATCACCTGTTGCTTTGTGATCACCAGAAGATCATGTCTTCAGTTGGTTGCCATTTTGCCAAACTGAAACCATTTGAGCTGTCCATGTCAAGCAAGTCCATCAGGCTGGTTTAAAAAGACACTCTGAACTGAACGCAGTCCCCACATTTAAAATAACGAGGTAGGAAAAACTACTTGTTCATCAACAGAAGAAATTCTGCTCATTAATTACTTTATTAAGAAAATGCCTTCTCATCTTGGCAGAAGCCACTAAATTGTCACGCAACCACAGTTAAGGAAGAAAGAAGCTGCATGGCCTTCGGGTTCAATTCCCTTGTGGGAAACCATCCAACCTGTCCAAACTGTAAATCCCTGATTGATTCATGCCACTCTTTCACATTTGTCAGCTAAATTCTTTTAAGATTCCATCACTGCTCCTTGTCTACCAGCTTCTTGTGGGCTCTTCAGTACTGCATTTTCTGATTTAGGCGAAGAAGTCTTATACTGACATTTTGCTGCTGCTTTTTTTTTTTTCCTGGTTTTTTAATTCCTTTTTCTTATTTTTATTTTTTTGCTTAGTTCATGAAGCAAAGACAGACTTGAGGTCAGGGAATTCTGACTGGTAGAGGTGGAGGATCCTCAACATCCAACCATTCTGCTGTTTCCTGGTTCTTCCTTCAAGATGTCTCCTTGTTCTCATCAATTTCTCCCCGTTCCAATCTCCTGCAGACTGATTTACAAAGTCACTTCTAACAGCCAGTGTCTCACTGAGAATATCAAGATTAAATAATGAATTCAAACCCATGATGTGACTTTCCTGTGAGATAAGCCAGCACAAGACTGACACTGGGCTCCGTGCAAAGGGTTGCTGCATTTTCACATCAGTGCCTTCCATTCACGGTCAGGTAGTTGCATTTGAACATTTTAGTTTGTCTGCATGTCTTGTAAGGATTGATTCACTGACTACTCCTTTAATGACTGTCCCAGAGAGTACAAACCCAGGAATTAGGTTTGTCAACATAGGAAAAATTCATGAAAAATTTAATGGAAAAAAGTCTCATTCTGCGTCTCTTTTTGAGTTAATCAGCAAATTGCTCTGCCACTTGGCATGAACGACAGTGACCAAACTGATGTTGCTATGAACATGAGAAACAGCTCTACCCCAGACCACATAAGGCAGAACCCCTTGCTAGGAAAAAAAAATGAGGTAAGACACTTATTTTTTCCTAAATTCTTGATTCCATGGCTTTGTTCTTGCATTGTGTTGGGCTGATTCTGACATTCAAATCATGGTCAGGAAAAGGCAGACTGATGTAGCTCCTCTCTGAGTGAGACAATCACACCCTATTTAACGAAGAATGCCTTGTCGTGTGTTGAGAGAGGAGTGTATTTCATGGCAGGAAGAATTTTCACCTGTAAAGGAAGGTAATCAAAGTGAAACATGCAGCAGAGCCAGTGTATGGCATAGCACAAAGGGTTAAGAACCAAACTGTTGTGAGCCCACACCATGCTTTCACAGTCCACTGTAGTAAGGCACTTTGAAACTCCTATGAATTCAGGGCATCCATGCAAGTTAGGTTACTGGGACCCATAACAACATCTGAACTTCATGAGAGAAGTACACCGAATGTGAACAGTCAGGACAGAACCAAGAAGGACTATGCCAACAGCAAAAATCACATTTACACAGCACAGAGGCTTACGTTTCTTAGTATCCACATACACAGAATAAAGCCACCAACCTCTGGAAGCCTCATGTAAGTGTGGGACATACATTTTGCTGCATTTGTATGGTGCAACCATAGTACTTACCAGTATAGTGACACATATTAAATGCTCGCTTCAAAGTCAAGCCTGTTAAAACTAGGCAAGATGAGGAATAACTGCTAGTTCAAGGCCTGTGCCTCCCATTTTCAGAATACAGGCCACCAACTGAACTGTTCAACTACCTCAGGCTATGACACTATGAAAGAGGGTTAGCAAAATACTACACCAGATTAAGGATTCAGGAAACGCTACACACGACTCCATAGGAAATGTCACTTCCCAACCAGAAACACAAAGTTTGGCCAGTGTGGATTCTAAAGACTAGTTTTAGGAGGGGATCTGGGAACTACTTCAAAGTGAAAAAGTTGCACAGCTTGAGGTGTTGAAATTAAGCTCTGTGTGTGAAACTCAGGTTAAAGAAGAGCAGGACTGTATGTTTCAAGCCCCAACATGCATTGCTGTGACAAACCAACATTCCACAGGTCATTCATCAGGATCGTTGCGTGCATCTCAGCATGCTGTTGCATCACTGCAACAAAGGCCACTCAAAGGTGAGGGGGGATTTGTCTATGACACTTTATCACATCTGTGGAAGAGAAAGCCAGATACATTCTACCTGTTAGTATAAGATGTATAAGATATCCACATGCTGGACAGGAACCCAGGAAAACAGTGCTGATAGCAGATGGAAAAAAGGAAAGTTCTTTGTCAAAACTAATATAATAGATCTAGAGCTGTTCAGTTTGAAGAGACAGCTCCTAAGCTAAAACAATCACCTTAATGAGGACAGGTGTCAATTTGCAGCGGGAATAGTTCAGTTTAAAAAGCAAAGAAACTGAGCAGTTTGCAGCAGTGGCTCACAGGCCACAAGAGCTCAGCAATCCTCCAACGATCAGCAGACAGGTTCCCCATCAAAGAACAGCAGTGCTATGGCCAAACTAGACCAAACGTTGTGTGATCCAAATGTTGTTTTGCAAAAGGTAATTTCACTCCTCCTTGGATGTCCAGCAGCTCAGTCTAGCAGCTCAGTGGACTAGTGAACTACACAGCCCTCTAAAACTCTGTTATGAGAAACCAAAGAGCAGAGGACCAAAATATGTCTGAAATCTTCTCCAGAGCAGCGAAGGAAAAAGTAAAAATGAAATTTTAATTTCCGTTGTCATTGAAAGTGAAAAAGATTTGGAAGTCAACACCACTGAACAGTGGGATGGAAAGGAGTACTTTCCTGCTAGGGACTGACCAAATGAAACGGAACTGCAATGTGCTGTTTTCTTCCAGGGACCAGTTGGAAAGGACTGGCAACCAGCGCAGCCCTGCGATGCCACAGCAGCACAGCAAGGCTGCTCCGCTGCAGTCTGACACGGAGTTCTGCTGAAGTTGTGAATCCCTTGAGTGCAAGGAAATAAACTCTTCCTTCCTGAGGGTACAGTGATGAGATCGCCACAAAGTTCCACTTAGGGAAAGAAGGGATACCCCGAGTTCCAAAGAGACAAGGATGACAAGACACACAAGGTTAAGTTCACACTCTGTAGGGACATGTACCTGAATAGCTACTTTGTCCTTACAATGGGATTTATACTGCCTGTACCCATCTGCTTCTGATACTGCAACACGAGGAAATAAAAGCTAAGTACAACAACGATGCTGCAATATTTAAAAGACTCAGAGAGGTATTTCCCATCAAAGCCTTAAGGCCACCTAAATATCGCTGTTGTCAGTGGTTTTTCCTGATGCTTTCACGCAGCTTTGAAACAGAAGGCCTAAAACAAATCACTGCACACACATGCAGTTACCAGGCAGCCACCACACACGTACACACAGCACTGCCAGCAGCACTGCAGCACTCGCTGTGCTGCAGACAACACAGGAGACGAGCAATTCAAACACAAAGCCTGCATTACAGATTTCACCTTCGCAGACAACCAGATCTATGTTTCACTGCACCGCTCCACCACAAACACTTGGGATCACCCGGATTCCTGTCCTCCTCGGTGCAGGCGATGCAGCCGTCCTGTCAGCATCCATTCCACCCGTCAGCATCCATTCCACCCGTCAGCATC